AAGTGTTATTTTTGCTCTTCAGCAGAGAGAGCAGAGAGTACAGTAGCTAAGTAATAATCACGAATATGATTGCTGTATGTTCTCACAGTCACTTTCAGATCTACTGATTGTATTCTATCACTGTCAGTCGAAAACTTGTCAAATTTACTTTTAATTTTCTTGTCTCACCTTTATTCTTTTTCGCCTAATTCGAAGTTATTATTTTAAATCCCAGTCATTCACTTTTGAATATTAATAATGATAAAGATGATTTAGTTTCATTATCACATTCTTACTGTCATCTCCTCGCTTATGATTATTTTTAAATTATTTTTAATTAAAAATTTTCAGACATTTTCATACGCTATAAACTAGTTAAGTTCGCACATTTTTCCTTATATATTTGTTTTTATATGCTTTTTTTCATATTCCTGATGGTTTCAGAGTTCGATTATTGCGGTAGGAAGATATTTCTTTCTCTTTGTAATGCAGCTGACAGTGAACCAGTTTACTTCTGGATTTAATGTGATAAATAGACTATAACGTTGAGATCCCAATCTGTCTTAGTCTTTCTGGCGTAATTACTATTGCGACAACCAATAAATCTCTCACTTGCTCGGTCGACTAATATCACTGAAAAACATCAGTGAAGATATTATCAAATAATAGATTGATTATGAATAAACATAATGTAATACATCAAGAAAATATTAATTTCCAAGATAGGATAATAATAAATATAGAATAGTAAATACTTAAAACGATGTGAGATTGCGAAATTAATTGATTTCGTAATTAATACAATTGAATAAAAACATTAGATTTAATAGCAAATAACTGTAAAACATGTAATTTTTTTTTTTCATTTTGCAAAGAAGAAGGATCTTCCGATGTTCAAATAGATATTGTCGAAGTCATCGACCCGGCATGGCAATGTTATGCAAAATGCGGTTAGTTAATAACGTAGCTCTTGGTAAGCGTTGGATCGATTACTTAATACTATCGTATAGCCATGAGAAATCTCACTGACTTCTCTATCATAAAGACTTCTCTGTCACTGAAATGTTTAGTTTGTACAATATAATTTTCATTTTTTTTTACGATATCAATAAAGGAAGCAATAATCATAATTGATCGATTAAAGACAAATTGCGATAATATATAAGAGACAATGGCATATAATTAGACATTTACAAAAAATAGCAAAATAATTATAAAAATGATCTGTCCTACATAAATAATTATGACTCCTGATAAGATGAAATTAATAGTACTGCTTTAGTATATAACTTTAATATTTGTATTCATCATTTGTATTCATTACATATATCTAACGAAACGCTAATAATTCTTTGGACATTCGAGATAATTCCTCCCTACATCACTTTTGCCGACAATTCGTTCGCGCAAAATTTATTGTTTAATTGTCTACGTGCACTTTTGCGCACAAATAAAAATTTTAGAAGCGGGGTTACATTTTCCTACATGTATAATTATTATCTACAAGTATTATTGCCTAGCTCGATTGCCTACATGCACTTTTGCACACAAATAAAATTTTCAGAGACAAAATCATATTTGTCTACATATATTATTGTCTATAGCTTGATTGCTTACAAACACTTTTGCGTACAAATATAAAAATAAGATTAAGTTAAATAAGAAAATAACTTGTATTTTTAAAGCAGATAATTTGTTTTAAAACAGAATTTGTGTTTTTAAAGCAGAGAATAATACATGTAGGCAATCAATCTGTAGATAATAATATATGTAGGCAAATGTGATTTCGTCTCTGAAAATTTTATTTGTGTGCAAAAGTGCTTGTAGGCAATCGAACTGTAGGCAATAATACTTATAGGTAATAAACTAATAATACATGTAGGAAATAATACATGTGGGTAAATATAATTTCATTTCTAAAATTTTTATTTATGCGCCAAAGAGCTTGTAGGCAATCAAGCTGTAGGCAATAATTTTTGTACGCAAACAGACCGTCGGCAAAAATGATGTAGGCAAATGGTATTGTAGGCAATTGATTTGTAGGCAATCCCCCCATATATTCTTCGCAGAAATCAATATTTCGATTATAACTTTAAAATTGGAATAATTGTGACGAATATTTATTTAAGTATTTCTTGACAACAGGTAACTTTGTACATATATTTATGTATTCAGACATATATTTGTTTATATGATTAATATAATTATAGTCTAACTTACTAAAATATTAAAAATTACTGTTATTATTTCAGAAATAATAACCAAAAAATTAAAAAATAAACAACAAATGAAGACAACGTCCAAAATGTTTTTATTATATCTAAAATATTTATTTAATTATTACCTAATAAGATAATTAAATTTGGAGATATATATATATATATATATATATAATAATAATAATAATTTAAAGAATGACTTCTTAAATCTAATCGCGATAAGTTAATTATCTGATAAATTTTCTGATTGTTTATATTAATGTCGAATTAAATCATAAATATTTTTATCTAATTTTCAATGCTAGTTCTCGATAAACGGTATTGATAGCAAGATAACTTGATATATTGTATTATAATTTATCAGTTAATCGATTATTCTATAATCAATGACAAAATTGATACTGATTTCATTTATCTTTCTCATAATTGATAAAACGATTCGACAGTAGGCTATAATGAGCAGGCTAATAAGAAAAATACGTATTTTTATTATCGTTTGAGACAATTTATTTCAACAATTCGAATGTCATTAATTGCCACAATTTTATTACGTAATAAAAATGTATTAATAGATAAAATAGAGAAAATAGAAATTTTAGGATAATTTTACAATTTTGGGCGTAAAAATTCCAAAATGAGCTACAATTTATTTTTTAAGTCATTTCTAGAATAAATGTTAAATATAAATGTGAAAAAATCTGAAAGAGAAAATGTTTAGAATGCGACTAAAAATTATGCAATATTTCATATTGTACAATATAATGTACCTATAGTATTTATGAAGCGATCTCTTTCAGTTTTTTGGAGAAAAATAATCATGACACATTATGTGTCAACATTTTGCGGTCCACGTATTTATTATTTATTTATTAGTTGTATAGCTGGAGCGTTTCATTTTATCCTTTTTCTGAAAATAATAAGTGATAAAAATAGACAGAAACTTACAGCATATGAGTGCTCAAATCGATCGTAATCTATTGCTATTTGGCTAAAATAAGCACGGCTATTATACAGGGTGGGGCAGTAACTCTGTCCACTTAGAATACTTATTTCTGGTATTTTTAGAGATGAAATAATATATTTATTGAAGTATTATATATAGCATCAAGAGGGGAGTACAATATGCTATACTAATAATAGTTTTTTATTGTGTAAAAGAAATCATACAATTCCATTTTATAAAGTGGAGGTGACCTTGAAATTTTCGAAACGCCCCATAGAAAAACTATTAATAGTACCTATATTGTACCCCTCTTGATGGTATCTTACAACTTCAATATTTTAAATGGACAGAGTTACTACCTCACTCTATATAAATTGAGCTGTACACTTTTTTACCATAAATACATGTCGATATAAGAGCACTTATTAAATTATTTTTCGTTTTCATTTATAATAACTTTTATCTTTAAATCTGTAACGTATGTAATAAGTTGTATATTTATTTTATTGATGAGACATTCTTACGTGACGGGATTAAAGCTGTCGATTGACTAAAACGTTAGAATTCGCGATAATGTTGTGCCGTTGGCGGACCGTAAAGAATTAAAAATGTGACAAGGAATACTAATCATATATTTATAAAGATATAAAGATCATATCATGATGTGATCGTAAGATAATCAGAGTAATTTAATCAAAACAATATACGCAATAATTAAGTTAAAATTTATTCGATGAGAAGTGTCGACAGAAGCAATTTAATCAAATCAATAACATATTATTCTCCCAAATTAAAATTTACTCTATATTCAATGTGTGTGAAAAGTTTTGGCTAGATGATTTCTTGGCTAACGCTATTAAAATATAGAAAATTATTGCTTTCAAGCACACACGCACGTAAGAGATACTTTTCATCAAAATTTAATTAATAATTTCTTCTGTATATAATGTAATTTTTAATTGATGTCATAAATCATTTCTGAGTCATAACTAATTATTAAAAAAATAATTGTATCTATAACTAATATTAATGGATGTTTTTTTATTTACACGGAAAAAAAATGAACAACTAAAAATTAGGTATGGCAGCTAAATAGTATTATATGGAAACGTCGTGTCTGCGAGGTCTAATTTAGCTGTAAGGCCTAAATATTATCATTTTAACAGACAAGCATTTTGCATTTTATGTCACTGTATTGATTATTAACAGCAAACGTTTTCCGTACAGCAGACAATTTGATAGCAAGTACAGTTTCAGCAAACCATATTTAGCTGCAGTAGAGACAATTTTCTTTTACACGGACATATCCGATAACTATGACAACTATAATTTCATGTTGTTCAATAAATTTAACTGTAACAGACATACATACTTTGCTATCACGTCCTTATATTAGCTGTACAGCAGAAAATCCTTCGTATGTATTAGCAAATTTCATAACTATAGTATCTAATGCAATTTCAGCTAATCAGAATTAGCTGTGGTCAGAAACATTTTTTTTCCGTGTAATATTGCGCTTTTCAATTTTAATTTGCCAAAGAACCTTTTCTTTCTGTTTCCATTTAAGACAAATTATTTGTATAAATGCTATTATTTGATAATCAGTGAGATAGAAGACCGCGACGTATCAAAGTTGTCAATCAGCGAAATGTACAATATATTCTATATATACATTTACGCATATTATGATATGTCGATAAAGACGTAAATATTTGTGATGCGGAAACGAAGCCGCGCTCGAGTGTGACGTCTTAATAATTTGGCAGAAACACATGATTCGCGTGACCATGTATACACGGAACTATCGTGTAACGGGAGAATGACGGCCAACCGGCCGTTGGCGCACAGAGGAGGGTTTCTACATATAGAGGTGAGCGCAACTCGCGAAACGATTCAGTCCTCTCGAAACCACGCGACAAAAGACAATTCTTGGGATAAGCAACGATAATTCGCGGGTTCATCTTCCTTTGTGCCGATCATACTCGCGAATTTTTATGAATTTTTAACGAGTGGGGATTTTTGATACACGGAAATACAACGAAAACGGACTTTGTGCAAGATCTGTGTGCAACGTTGCAGCTACGATTTACTCTTTGGGGTAAGTAGTACGAAAAATTAAAAGAGTCAATAATCTCTATTATGGTTCTTTGGTTCTTTCATTCTCTGTTGTTTTTCGTAAGATCGTTATAAACTTTCTTGACTTTTGTATGATAAGCATATCGATGTTAATGCATTAAAATTAAATAAAAACGTACTTTGAAATGTTATTTAATTCGTCTTTTGTTTCCTTCGTCGTGAGTTGGCATTAGTCCCAATGACTTGTGATATTTCAATTTTGTAAATAACGATGAGTCTACTATACATTTACGTAAAAAAAATATGTAAAAATATGTACGAGTAAAAATATGTCTCGTATGTAATATATAGGGTGATTTGTTTTAATCTTAACAGATAAATATTTCAAAAAAAATGCAATTTTATCAAAAATTTTAAATAAAAGTATGGTATAAAAAGAGACATTACCATTGTATATCTCTCTCTATATCATATTTTTATTTGGTTTTTTGATTAAATATTTTCAAGATATTTTCCCGTTTAAAATGAATCACTCTGTAGATCACGCAAAAAAGGAAAAATTAAAGTACGACTAATATGATATCATGATATGTAAATTGATTGGTTATCAAAAGTTCTGAGCTCAATCCATTATCGAAAGATCTTTGAGTGCACCAAATTTAATTTAATTAATTAAGGGCTAAATTAGCTAAAAGCTATCACAATCCTTTTTTAGTAGATACTATATTCCTTTAGAATTTATACATTAACATTTGTAATAAAAAAAGTACGTAAATTATAGGCACCACAGAAATGCATTTTTTTTATGACACCGGAAATTATATAACTGGAAACATCAAAAGATTGCGTGAGATTTGAGTAACAAAATGAGATTGAAAAAAAGCATTAAACATAATTAATTAATAGATATCTTTTTTTTCACTTTTGTTGCTTAATATTCATAATAATTTCTTAAGTTTAGATATTCACGCGTATAAGTTGCATGAGTTAAAATACTTATTGTTAGTAGAGTAATATATTTACAGTAATATATTTCATGTAAAGTCGCGAAAATCGATCGACGATTAATCATTTATATGCATGCTGAATCATGGATACGAATATGAGTACGATTGTGTTTCGCAATCGTGAGACGAACGATTTAACCATTTATGGCATCGAAATTCGACTGACTTGACAAATCACTCAGTAAGTTTAATTAATTATTCCCATCTTGCGTTTTTGATATTTGCACGGTGACATACGGTTATTTAATCTCACAATTTAATTCTGACAAATCGTCAAGTTCAGATAACAATATTTGCACTATTATCGATTGCTTCCACTTGTAAGGTGATACAGGTAGCAGAATAGCAGATATGCTAATGCTACAAAGTCAATGAAAAGTCGACCTTTTTATTTTATAACTTATCAAATAACGAGAAACAAGAACAGAAGGTAACGAATGGATTTCGCGAATATTAGCAAAATTAATAAAGGTTCTTAGGATTCAACTAGGTTTTAAATTTTCTAGAATTTAACATATTATAGTTTGCTATAATTATACAAGAATTTATCAGATCAGGCAGAAGTTAATTCTAAAACGCGCATGTAATAGTAGTTTATTGATAAAAAGATAACCAGAAAAATACATATATTCACAAAATTATTTATATCTGTCATTTTTATCATATCTGGTCGCAATTTTTTCAAATATTTCTTCAAATAATAGAGTACATGGATTCAAGGAATATTTTTACAAGTTATTGTCATATTGTAGATAAGATAAAATTGTGGCGTTAATATTTTTGCATTAGGTTTTAAAATTACAACGTTACTATTCTATTTTTAGTAATCTAATTGCACCATGGAGCAAAATGGTATCTCGATAATATCGCCACAGGGTGTCATTGAAAACTCTGCTGGAAAGTCCAAAAGTATCGGCATCACGTTCAGGTCGAACGGTGCAATACGGTCGGCGAAGGAGAAGCTAAAGGAATCCTGTGAGTATGAATGAACGGCGATCATAACGGAATATGTAGACACTCAAAGAAATTAAAAGTATAAAAGTCCTGTTTCTAAGAAACTTAGAATAATTTGACGAATACAATAAGAATTAATTGTCGATTGTTTTGGAAAAATTTTTGTGACACAAAATTCGGGATTTTTATTTTACTTCATGCATGATCTGTAAAATTAGAAGCTTGATTTCATGAATTTTATAGATTTTTTGCAAAGCGACTTGTCAGATATTCTTCTAAAAATGATATTCAAGATGCTCATTATGTTACTTTCAATTAATAATAACGATAAAGAATAATAAAATTTATATAAATCATTAGCTGATTGCGATATTTTTAAATTTTTTTCTAAAAAAAAATTAGAATCGTATCTTGCTGTATTACATTTTTACATTATCCTACATATTCGTTCTCATATATATTCTACGTTCTCCTATTTTTGAACCAAAGCCGAGTCACAAATCTTGTTGTCTTACATTTTTATGTTATTCATATCTCTACATTCTCTTCTCTTTAAGTCAAAGTTGAGTGACGAATCTTTTACGGATTTCGCATAAAAAAATCACAAATCTTTTTCTGTATAACATTCCATCGAAGCTAGTTCAATTTTATTTTGAATAGCCAGATATTATCGCAGAAATCTATGTTAAAAAAACGGCGCAACATGCTGAAGAATACTAACGCGATCAAATGAATAATGGCGCGTACACGCTTTAAGTCGGCCAGTGACAAATTTTCGTTCTCGTAAAACGTTGAAACGAATTTCATTATAATTCATAGAGTATCTCGTCCATTAGAAGGTGGAACTTACCTTGCAGCTATTCGCGCACGGGAGTACATATATCAATCTAAAGAGATTCTGAACTTTTAATTAGATATCACCTGATTTCGCGACGATTAATTGCTCGTTTGCCGTCTTAATATTTATCATGCTCTTTACATACTTATCGCGTGTAAAGTAATCTAATTTCATCAAACATTCAGTTGTAAGATATTTTCGTTCATCAATGATACGCGTACTATACGAACTGTTTACCCAAAATTTTTCAGGGAAAGGAGTATCGATTCTGTTATCACATAAGTGTTTTTTTATGTTAATGAATTATATTGTTTTGGATATTTTAAAGCTTAGAATCTCTTTTTCGTTCTTGATTTTGAATAGGAAAAATATTGGGTTTTGTAAAAATCATCGTTTATTTTTTTCTGAAGAAAGTATAGACAAAGTACGATTATTAAATATGAAATGTATATAGTGTTTTAATATTGCTATTTTATACAAGATATTCGTGATTATTTCTCTAAGAAAAGAAATTTGAAAAAATCAGAGAAGAGCGTAAAAAGACCTAAGAAAATTATTAAATATTATTATGTTATATGTCATTGTTATGTTAAATGTGATATTCTGTCAAAGTTCTAATTAACGGAAGTTGTAGAAATTAGTTACATGATCGTACGATGGAGAGAAAAAAATATTTTATGAGGTAAAAAAGAATTATTGAGAGTTAAAAGCAAAGTTATATTTTTGTATTAATCTTTTATGTATCATCAAAATATCGATTCGGACAAATCCTGCACATCCTCGAACATATCCAAAGGAATAAAATTTTTTTAAATTTCAATTTTTCTTATTGACATACAATTCGCGATTCTCCGTGAAAGACTTGCAACTTTGGGAATCTTATTGAATCTGGGAATAGAAACGCACAGACGAGATATCGCGAAAAAGTCTAACGCGAAGGAATGATATGCGCGTTGCAGAGAAGGGATTGATCGTATAATAAGATGGAAAGGCTTCGCGCACGATCGTTCGTTCCTGCTTTCGAGATTGACCTTAAACTCGCGAATCGGCTGCCTTCGCGAAGCAACCGACCTCCTATTCCTCGAAATATTTCTCGCCGCGCCGAGCTCTTTCTCGGTGAAAGAAAGAAGAAAGCGGAGGCTTGCATTATACGCATGTTAAGCGCTCTAGGAGCATCATCCTTCGGCCTGAAAATTGGGTCGGAAATCGGATTTGACTTCGAGGGAATTTCTCTCTTTCGCGCTGCGTTCCCGTTGCACATTTCATCGTATCGAAGACACCCTGGATGTCTCGGTGATCCGGAAAATTAGGTTTTCGCGTGTAAGTAATGTTATTGGAAGATCCCCGTACAGAAGAAGTTGCACTGTGCATTATTATGCGGGCGACGTTCTTGAATCGAAGAAAAAAAATTTTTCTCATTTCCAGTAGTAATGAATGTTTCAAACCCGCGACTTCACGGTGTTCTTGATGCAATAATGTTTTAGTAGCGGTTTGATCGATGTAAAAGTAGGGACAGTTTAACTTATTCACAATATCCACGCTATTTATATAATAAATTCTCTTACTATCACGTTCATTAAAATAGCGATGAATAACAAAGTTTTCTTTCTCGCTTCACTTTTTCTGATACAAAATGCAAGTTTTTATTACTTTCGACCATTGTGTGCACAGCGAGAATTTCTGATCAACGTATTTGGCGCATTTGATCTAGAAAGCGGACTGCCGTTCTTCTTCTAACGAGCGTATTTCGATCGTTAGAATCGTTTCTCTAGGAAAAAGAAAGTGCATAATGCAATCGCATCAGAAAATTGCGGTTGCTCGGACATTTTTACGAGACATCGTACGTAGGCTAACGAAATTAGACGATAATTATATATGGAGCAAGGTGCGTTATATATGGATAACGCTTCTTTTCAGCCTTTCCTCTATTCTGCGAGCGAGGAAAATGACATGCTCATTACACGTTTCATAGTGTATCTATATCTATGAGATGTTAATTAACTGGCATTATTTTCACTGAACATCGTGCTCCTCACAATAGCTTCATAAAAATCTCGGATCTAATGAAAAAAAGAAGATGCCGGTGAGTGGAATTGATTATTCCCGAATAGCTTTTTGTGAATTCTATCTTCCTGAGAAAATCTAGGGAAACGATACCGTACGCGGAATGCTAAGTTATCCATGTGTACTTTCACCCGCACGATCGCGATGTAAACCTGATTTATAATCGCGAAAATACGTGCGGTGGATCTTTAGGAATTAATTTAAATTTAATAGCGAGTGTTGTAAGGAACAAATATTTGGATGCGGGTCACGCACTATCTCAAAATCCCTATCTCTTGCCGTAGAATTCCGCGATAAATAGTTAGCAACCTGTTTAAGACTCTTATTCATTCACCACTATTGTCTCAGATTGTGACGTCAGAAGCGAGGAGATACACAACAAAAATTCTTACAAATTATATTTGAATAGAAACCTTTTTTTAACAAAACAACATTTGTACTCAATAGTATATTATATACAGACTTATGTATAAAATATAAAACTATCTTTATATTTTAGGCGGAAATTAAATCATGTTTATTTTTATATATTATTGATAGTTTGTCGCAGCTGCGTAGAACATAACTTATTTCACCTTTAGTTATACATAATTCATTTCCAGATACATGGTTATTCATTAACGAAGCAAAAAAGAAAGATTTTGGTATATTTTACGAGTCGATTCTATTGATTGTAAAGTGTTGTTTTATTTTTAAATATATTTCCATATTAATATATTTTTATTATATATTTTTTTTCCCCTGACATCATTACAAACAGATACAGTAAACAGGAACTTCAGACACGTTGATGTAAATAATTCTCGAAATGCGAAGAACTCGCAAATATCTGCATTCACACAGGCTGTAAATACAAACACCAACAATGATCAAAACATAATAAATATTCTGGCTTCTTTTCTTTTAAATTAAGATGTCCGTTTAAGATAAAAAGATCGCGTTGTCTTTTAAAGGCTTTTTAATTCAAATTTAACTTTTTTTTTTTAAATTAAGATGTCCATTTAAGATAAAAAGTAAGACAGCAAAATATTATGGAATCTTACAGAGTATAACTGTAAAATGTACTTTAAATTTCTTTCAGCAAAATTTGCATTATTTCTATTAGGTGTTGGAATTAATTCGTAGCGTTTTTTAATGAAAGAATGTTATTTATTTCACATGAGCATTAAAAAATACATTAATGAAAGTACTTCCCATCACTTGTAAAACGCTACGAATTAATTCCAACACCTAATAAAATAAGAATTTAAAGAAAAGACACAGGCAAATTTAACGGGAAAGACAGAATAATGGAGCAATTTCTTTGTCTTGTACCCGGCATAGAAAGTAGTTCGAGCGGCGGATTATGCACGATGATGACGCGAGTGTGTGTGTTCATGAAGATAGAACCATTTCCGGAACGAAGAATAATATTACATATATCCGATCTGACGAAAGAAAATTTTGAAACTTTTCAACGGTTAAGAGCCGCTTGCATTATGCCGTCGGCAATATCGTTAATGATTCACTGTTCGCAATTGAGAGAGAAACCTTCGTCATTACAGTCTTATATCATCCATTATTGGGTTACAGTACACTATATTATAGTTCCTGTAATAAAACTGTCAATTTGAAAATGTGAGCCGCGCTGCGCTCGCCTTGCGGAAGTCTCATTTCGTTACTTTTATGAAAATATGTAGTATGATGGATTCAGTGGGCGTTCTAAAATGTGCCGTAGATACGTATTTTCTACGCTGACTTTTCTCTGACGTAAGTTACGTTACTACAAGATATTTGCAGTGCAAATACATCAACGTTGGCAGTAAATATTTCGCGCCGTGTCACCAGATTTAAAGGAGTTCCGTCCGTACAGCGACTAGTGATAAATCGAATTATGCTAATGCATGCAAAATAACTTTTGACCGAATCGCAGTTGCTTTATGTAATTTCGTGACAGGAGTAACGAGAGGAACTATGAGATATATCTGGAAACACGTAGCAACTATTTTTCCTCGATTTTATCGTAGATAAGACTATAAATTGGAGATGAAAGTAATACGTTCTTTATCTTTCACGATTATCATAATCACTTCGCTTTACATTTCAATTCGCACTCGCTGGAATCTCGGGAATTCACAAA